TGCTGCCCATTGCTGCCTATTGCCGCCTATTGCATTGCTGCCTATTGCTGCCTATTGCCGCCTATTGCCGCCTATTGCATTGCTGCCTATTGCTGCCTATTGCCACCCTTGCTGTCTATGGCATTTCCACCTTCGTTTGCTTTGTTTCTTCACTCTCCCATTCCCTGCTTAAATTTGCAAGTGCCTCATCCTCGCAGCGATCACCGGCGCTCACTGGGAGGAAGGAACCAGCTGCAGGGAGGAGCGAGGCTGTGCCTTTGGTCGCTGCCCGGAGCCCTGTGGGGAGGACCGAAATGACCCCAAAAAAGAATAAAAAGAAATAAAAAAAAAAAACCACATTATTTCAAGTGCAAAAGGGAACCGCACACACTCACCCTCTCACCCGCGTCCACCAGCTGACGGTCGCAGATCGAACTGGCAGGGAAGGGTGGGAGGGAAGGTTGAGGATTTCCCCCGGTCCGTCCTGTTCTGCATCGCTCCCTTCCCACGGAGCCTCCCTCGGCCTCCTGCCTGCCGACGGTGTTTACCTGGGAACGAAAATGTAGGTCAGCATGGAGCTGTGGCTGTGAGCTCTGCCCGGGGCTCTGCTGGTGGTGGGAGGCTGCTGGGATCTGCTTGGAAAATAGAGTTGTTGGGAGGTTTCCTTCGTTGCTGGATGCCTCCTTTTGGTGGTCCTTGGGGTTTTGTTTTTTTTTTCTTTTATGATTGCAGTGATTCTGTGGGGTTTTGCAGTGATCAAAGCTTTGGAAAAGTCATCGAGAAAATACCTTCATGCAGAAAAATAAATGGGTTTTGTGTGGTCCGGTGCGTGGCCCCAGGGGTGATGGCAGTGAGGGGACACCGACGTGATTCCTGCCCCCGGGGATGATGGCAGTGAGGGGATACTGGAGTGATGCTGGTCCCTGGGGGAGGTGACAGTGAAGAGGCACTGGAATGATGCCTGTCCTTAAGGATGATGGCAGTGAGGGGATGCTGGAGTGATGCCTGTCCTTGGGAGAGGTGGCAGTGAGGAAACACCGAAGTGATTCCTGCCCCTGGAGGTGATGGCAGTGAGGGGACGCCTGTCCTTGGGGGTGATGACAACGAGGGGACACCTGAGTGATGCCAGCCCAGCCGAATGGGCACATAGGTCCGAACGTGAGCTCCCTCCCACAGCAAACACTTGGAAGCTCATGGGAACAGAGCAATGCACACGGAGCAGCAAGGCGCAAGGATGACTGCCCTCATTCCTGTGTGTTCTGAGGGCAGTCAATGACCCCGGGTGTGCACACCTGCATGGGGCCCTCTGAGCCCTCCCTGCCCTGCAGGCTGTGCCAGCTCCCATTGCACCCATAGATCTGGTGGGGAGCCAGGTGAGATCACGCAGTGCATCACTCTGCTCGGCGTGTCTGGGCTAGGAGGGGCTGTGGAGGCCGCCCAGGCCGCCCACGAATGGCTCTTGATACCGCCAGGAGAGGCACCTCTGCAATTAAGTGGGTTGTTAATGAGCTGCAGAGAGCGGTGGAGGAGCTAAATTTTGCCTTGGTGGGATGAAGGGAGAGGCAGCAAGTCGCTGTGGGTCCTGTGCCGTGGTGGGTTTGGGTGCAAAGCAGAGCAGCCTGTGGTGCTTCTGGCCCTCGTGGTCCATGGGAGCTCCTGGAAAAGATCTGTGCCGGGATAGAGTGAGGAAGTGGGCTGCCATCCTGGTTCTGGACACAAAGTGGGGTCTGCTGGGGGTGGCCGGGCACCACAGGATGTGATTGCGGAGGAGGGCAGGAGGACCACGCATGGCAGTGGCTCCTCCAGCCCTGCGCTCTTCCCTCCGCCCCAATTAGCGCACATCCGCCCTGGGAACGAGGCGGAAATTTGCTGTGAATCACTCAGACCGTTCCCTTCCGCCCTTCCCTCCCCGGCATCTGCTGCCACCAAGGTGCCACCGAGCGGCGGTGCGTCCCCAGGGTTTGGGGTTGAGCTGCTCTGACCCGCTGTCACTCATCCCACCCGGAAGGCCACGCTGAAAGCAAACACAACACACCGAGCCCTCAGCAGCATCAGCACGTGGGATCGTACAGCCCAACTGGGGGGGTCCATGGGGTGAGGGGGCTCAGGGGGTCGCACTCACGGCCGTAAATCCCCCAGGGGGTGCATAGAGATGGAGCTCAGCTCCTCACAGTGATGCCCAGTGCCGGGATGGGGAGCAGTGGGGACAACCTGGAGCCCAGGAGGGGCAATGGGAGCCTCAAGCAGCGCTCTGTGCTGACTTCATAGATGCTGAGGGCAAAAGAAGTCATTACTGATATTCAGTTTGACTTCTGGAGGCAACAAGCATGCATTCCCACTCCATTTCTGTTGGGGAGTTGCTCGTGGGCTTGGCTCATGGCCTTCCATCCTAAAAAGGACCACCAAGTCCTCCTTCTCCAGGTAAGTTCTTCCCCAGATCAGTTTCCCATCTGCTAAAACACGAGCTTCACCTCCCATGGAGTTCATTTAGCTTCATGCTACATGACCCAGCTTCACCAGGTCACTGCTGCTCGTTAGAGCCTAATTAGTGATACGGATGGGCACCAGCTTATAAGAAGGTAAGGGCAGTCAAGGAGGGGACTGGTGAGCTGCAGGGAAGCAGGAGGGTGCATCTGACATTGCAAATGGGGAAACCCTGAGCAGTGCAATAGGAGAGACGTTGGTGAAAGAGAGGCAGATTTCTGTGGATGTGATGCACGGCTTCACCCTCTGTGCTGGAAAAGCAGCGCTGCAGTTGGAGCTGGCTGAGCACAGCAGTTGTGTCTGAAGCCATCTGCTCAGTGCAAACACTCAGTGTTCACCCAAGATTAATCCAGTGCAGTTCTTGCAGCCCCTCTGTGCAGTGCTGTGGGCTTTTTCCTGCCTTTTACCCCTCCCCGGTTCTCCTCACGCTTTGGTTGAGCGATTAAAACACAGCTCGAAACCCGCAAATGGAACAGGACGGAGCAGCAACTAAACAACTCCAGAATGATTGAAATGCAGCTTTTATTTCCTGGCTGAAGACGGGAGCAGCAAAGCAAGGAGGAAACTGTTGGCAGCAAACATCATGTGTTGCACGGGCGGAAAAACCCAAATAACGAACCAGAGGTGCTGCACCCCAATATTGCACTGCCCTTTGAATGCTCCTGGGGAAGCATCATGGCTGGAAAGCAGTGAGGATGAGGTCGGTGCATTGAGCAGGGAGGTGTCCAGGGGCTGCAGAGCTGCACGGCCGGATCCTGCTGTTAGAACTTGGGGCACGGTGGTGGCAGCTTGCAGGCTGTGCTGGTGTTCTGAGGGCAGGAGGTTTGCACCGGTGGGGAATAGTGCTGTGTGGGCACACCGTAGGTCTGTGTTGGGGGGCATGGCATCACGCAGGGGTACCCGGGGGCAGGGATGTTCTGGTTGTTGCAATGGCAGGAGGACCCCGAGTCGTTGCAGGGCTGGGAGCTGTGGCAGGAGGACTCCTGGCTGTGGCAGGACTTGTTGGCACCCATCTCTTCTGAGCGTCAGCAAAGCTGCCTGGAGCAAGAGATGGTTCTGGTGAGAGGAGACCCTGGTGCACCTCTCATCCACCCTCACTCCCTCCCTTCATAGAATCATAGAATCACAAGGTTGGAAACAACCTGCAAGATCATCTAGTCCAACCACCCTCCTTCTCTCTCCTCAATATTGCTCTTTATCCCCCCATTGAACTCTTTCTTTCTGCATCTTCCCAAGCCATCCCAAATACACCCTCAGCTCTGCCTCTGGGCTTCCTTTGTCCGTTCCAGTACGAACAGACCCCCAGGCCAACACAAGGAGCCCCTCCAGCCTCTCCCCAAACCCATTTCCCACCCATCACCATTCTGCAGCACACGGAGCTCCTGTCAGCAGTGCACCCATCCCCAGCCACCCCCTCCCTGCTGCCCTGTGCCCGCTTCTGGATCTCCATCACCTCCATGCTTGCTGCTTCCTTCTGGGCAGGAGCACAAGGAGAAGCGGCCTTACCTCTGCAACAACAAGAGGAGTGGCTGGAAGGGACGACGAGTGGAGAGGACTGGGCTGAGTGGGTTTTATAGCCCTCCTAAAGGGTTGTTTTGAGCATGAGACACCGCTGCCCAATGCCAAGGGGGTTATTAATGCACTTGATACATGTCAGCCAAACGTCGATGATCTCAGCCCTTCTTCTTTGACACCTAATTCTCTCCATTCATAAGGAATTCGCCATCAGGATTCGGGGAGATGGGGATATTTTTAGAATCATTTGAGTTGGATGAAGCTTATAAAGGCCACCTGATTCAGCTCCATTAATTAATGGGGACACATGCAGCTGGATCAGGTTGCTCAGATCACTGCTTACTGTTTCCCATAAACTGATGGCCCTCCCGTAAGCTGACAGTAATCTAGGAATGTCAAGGAGCGTGTTGTTGTGTCACCGGACACGTGGGGTTGCATCAGGAGCAGAAATGAATTACGACTTGGAAATGCTGATTGCTGCAGCAGCAAATTGTTGTGTTCAAGCGACAGCTCAGGACTTTAATTTACACGTTCATGTCGGGCGGAAATGGCGTTACCAAATGCAAGGTGGAATCATTGAGGTAGGAAGAGACCTCTGAGTTCTGTATATGTGGAGCTGGGGCTGATCAGCGTGGGGTGTGTGGATGGGGGGGTCTCATCTATGGTCATAAATCCCTGCAGGGAGGTGCATGGGGGCAGAGCCTGGCTCTGTTTGGTGCTGCCAGGACAGGGCGCAATGGAGATGCGCTCCATGCCATGCAGGTGTCACAAGAGGTCGTGGGGTCTCTTCTTTGGGCCAGTCTGCCAAAGTATCTGGACGTGGAGCTGCTCCCACATTGGAGGGGAGGGGATTGGAACCAGAGTTGTCCTCCAACATCAGCTGATCCCTCTGGTTCTGTGATGGCCGCATGGGGGGATGCTTGTGTCGGTCCCAGCTGGAGGTGAGGAGCCCCAGCTGGGTCCCATCTCCTCGTTACGGGACAGTTATAAAGCCCAGCCCCGGAGGCTGCAGCTCCATTTTTCTCTCCCTAGGAGGGATGGCGGTGGCCGATGCCAGCAGATGGCAGCAGGGCTCTGTCACAAATCTCCTCATCCTCTTCTGAACTCTTCCCTAGGACAACCTGGGATGAACGCACAAGCCTGGAGCTGCTCCCCTGCGTCCTCCTGGCCCGTTTTGCTGTAAGGATGCTCCCGTGGCAACGGGGCTTTGTGGCTCGGGTGCTGTCCCCAACCCTGAAAGGGACAACGTAGCCCTGATGTTGTGCCGTGGGCTGCCCCGATCGCAGAGCTGGCTCAGCCCAAGCACGCAGCGTGTGGCTGCGGGTCTCCTCTGCGTCTGGGAGCTCTGCTGGAGCTGTGGGATGCGTCTGGGGAAATCTCCGTCACAGCAGGGCTCGGTCATCACCTCAGCTGTGCTCAGAGCAGCAGGACTTTTGTTCTCTGCATCCTTTGTCGCAGCCCCAGAGGTGACGCAGCAGCGATCCAGCAGTCGGGGCAGCGCACAGCCCCGCCGCGTTGGTAAATATCCTGTTGCTGCTTCCTGGCTGGATCCTGGAGGGGAGGGGAACAGCCCGTGCGGCCCCAGAACCGGGTTTGTGCGTTTAGATCAATGCGTAGGGAGAGCACCGGGAGCAGAACCCAACTGCTGCAGCCACGCCAGCTCCACCCGGGGGTGGGCACGTCCTGGGGGCAGCTCTGCTTCGGGATGCATCGCAGCAGGGGGGGGGTGGCAAGGAATCAGCTCTGTTCTCCCCCTGCATGAGGGATTCCATCTGCTATGGAGATCCTACAGTGCTATGGGATGGGATGTGTGACCCAGCTTGGGATGCAAGGCTCATTTTTGGATGCGAGGATGCAGCTCCACTGGGACGCCCAACCCTGTGGGCAGAGCTGAGCAGATCCCATGTTCACCCCATGAGATATTACCCTGTAGGAAGGTGTTAGACGTGTTTCAAATGTCAAAATCAACCCTAAAGGAAGTTGAAGCAACCTGACCAGCAGCAGTGAAGCAAACTTGGAACAGTCTTGTGTTACCCCGGGGCTGCTGCTGCTTTGGGGAAGCTGGTGGCAAGTTTCCTCACCAAGCAGGGTGATTTCAGGGCTTCCACTCACCCTTAGGAAATCACAACTGTTCCTTTTTAATCCTCTGAAAGGCATTTGCAAATCAGCCTTTCAAATCAGCAGCGTGAAGCTGCACAGTGGCATCTCAGGCATTTCCAACCCCCTGAAAGCAGCCATTCATAGCCGCCTCCGTGCAAACCCGAGACGTTGGGAGCCAGGCACTGGGGTTGTGCAGCCAAAGTGTCCTAAAAAAGGTTTCCCCCCCCCATCTCTGTCACCCACCGCTGCAGCCCGGGCAGAGCGCTCCCAAAATTGATGTTTCTCAGTTGGAAATGAGGAGGTTGGTCAGATTTTGTCCTGTAGGGGACGTTGCAAGGGGCACTGTGAAACCTTCTGCAATGAGCAATGCTCTCCCAGAAACCCGTTCTGGTCGCCTCTGGGAACCTGCAGCCTGCCTCCAAGTCTGACCTTGCTGGTTTGAATCCACGCTGAAGGGGAGAGCAAGGTGAGAAATAACAGGCAGAAACAAGAAAGCTTCGACAGCCTCAGGGCAAATCTTTATTTGGCAGCAAAACCATCAAACTTGACGGGATGGAGGAGCAGAGGGGTGGGAGGGGGGAGGAGAGGGGTGGGAGGAATGGGGGGCAGAGGGTTGGAAGGGGAAGCAGGAGCTCAGAGCTCTGGGTGGCTGCCTTCAGCTCAACCCCCCTTAGTGGTGGTGCTGGTGCTGGTGCTGGTGGTCCTCACAGAAGTGGAGGTGCTCGTGGGTGGCGGCGGTCACCCGCATGATCAGGAGCATCACTTCACCAAAACTCAGCTGCTGGTCCTTGTTGCCGTCGAGGTCCCTGAAGATTTGGTCGATAGAGGCCTGATTCTTCACGTGCTGCAGGAGAAGAGGCAGAGTGCCATTGGTCACAGCCCCGAGGTCCCCCGGATTTAATGAGACCCTCCTGGGCTGCTGGAGATCCCAGCTGCTGCTCCAGGGTGGCTGTCTTTCATCTGTCCTTATGGCATCTCATGCTGCTGGGTGGGGAGAGCTGGGGCAGGAGCACATTGGGAGGGGGCTGCTGGGCTGGATTTGCTCCCTAGGGCACTTGGGCTGATAAAAACCAGTGGGGCAGTGAGATTCAACCCAACGGCCTCCCAGCCTGGGGCACAAGAAGCCCTCCCCCAGCTCTGCTCACCTTCAGGTAGTTGGCAAGCTGCTTCTCAATCAGGAGCTTCAGCTCCTTCTTGGTCAGGGTGTCTTTGTCCCCCTCCCGTCTCGAGAACTGGTGGAAGACATCGATGATGACATCTATGGCTTTCTCCAGCTCGGAGAGCGGCCCCTGGGTCTGGCAGCCCTGGGAGAGGCAGAGGCACAGAAGGAGGTCAGGATTGCAGCAGGTGGCTGCACATCAGCACAGCTCCCTGCAGGCAGGTGGGGATGCAAGCCTGGCTCTTAGTCATTCTGTTTTCAGGCTAAATTTGAGCTGTTTGCTTGGGTAATCTCCAAACCAAGGAAGGCTGGAGGAGGTTGCAGCCTTTGCTCTCTGGGCTGTGCAGCAAAACGTGATGTCTAAGAGCTGATTTTTCCCCCCAGAATGAGCTGGGGCAAGGCTCCCACAACGCCTGTGTGGCAGTGCAGGTGCTGAGCCTGAGATCTGACAACCCCACAAGCCCCTCGGTGGCCATCCCACACTGCAGGCAGCTTTTTTCCACGAGGACACATCTCTCTCCCCCATGGGTTCCATTCCCATCTCCATCGGCGCTCCATCCTCTGCTGGAACACGTGGAGGCTCACAGGGCAAGGAGGAGCTGCCCATCCCTCTGCTGGCTCAACCTGCACCTGGAAAAGAGCATGGAGACCTTAGAACCCCCACCACCACCCTCTGACTTGCCTTGCTCATGTTGGAGAAGCAGAGATGACCGTCTCAGGTTGAACTGCAGCTGGTCTGGAGCGCAGCATCTCTTATAGGCTGCCTGCCAGCCCCAGCCCCTGCTTGTGAAATGCCTCTGTTTCATCCCATTACGGTCCATCGTCATGACATCGTGGTGTGTTGCTTAAGGCTTGGGGGTGTAGTTCCTTAAAAGGGGTCTCTGTGGCTTTTCCTGCAATGTTCTCTGGGTGCCAGGGAGGTGGCCTTGTCCCCATAGCCAGCATCCCTCGGCCATCAGGGCCATCCTTGCTAAACCCACTCATTTTGGCAGCTTCCCTCTGTTTTATTCCCCTCTCCAAGGGCGCTCCTCCACCGCACCCATAGCACTGCTGTCCTGGTGGACCTGGTGCAGCCAGAAGCATCCCAAAATCCCACTGCTCCACATTGATGTGCGACACAGACACTGCAGCAAGCAGCTCTCCAGGAAAGGCAAGCAGCACGGGCAGCCTCCCAGCCCCGCACGGCTCCAACTGTGGCTCTTTGGGTCTGTTTCTCCACACCCCAGTTTCACCCCAGGGGTTGGGTGAGGCTGAAAGGTGGATTTTTTTGCTTCGGGTTTTTGTTGTTGTTTTGTTGTTTTAATGCATGTCCTCCCTTGGTGGCATTGTGCCTTGTTGACTCCAGGTGCCGCAGAGGCTGGGTGCAGGCGGGTTGAGAGCAGAGAAGAGCAAAACAAGATTTTCCAGCTTTATGACAACCCCCCCCCTTGCTCCTCCTCCCCCCCATCCCTGCTGATTCAGCCGGCTCTGCTGGGTCTGTCCAAGCTGCTGAGCACGGCCCCCCATCTCCAATGTCAAATGAGAGCCAAAGTGGTGCCACCGAGCCCCTAATGAGCAGCCATGGGGCAGCAGCGGTGCCATGGGAGCTGATGGGGGGGGGGGCACAGCCCAGCCCTCGTTGCCAGGGAGATGCAGGTTTCACAAGGCGATGCTCCGGTGCGCGGAACAGCCAGGGAAGGCCTGGGATGTTTCACAATGTCGGGGACCATCCGCTCGGTTGCAGAAATTGGTAGCGATTTCAGGAAACGGAGCTTTGGCCCATTGTATCATCGGGAGGTGGGGTGGGGAGAGGATGGGCTGAGGGGGCAGGGTGGGATGGGGGGCTCAGGGTTAAGGGCAGAGGGCTCAGGGTGAGCGTTAGGGTTAGGGTGAGGGTTAGGGATAGGGATAGGTTTGGAGTTAGGTTTAGGCTTAGGCTTAAAGTTCGGGTCAGGGTTAGGGTTAGTGTTAGGTTAGGGTTAGTGTTAAGTTAGGGTTAGGGTTAGGGTTAGGGTTAGGGTTAGGGTTAGGGTTAGGGT